ATCTGCAGGAGATTTCTCTTTCTTTCCCACCTGCCCCCAGCCTTTCTGATTCCCAATACTCAGCAAAAGTTCTGTAGGGGAAACTTGGCATGCGGTGAAAACTGGGTATGTGGTTAAGGCATCTCCAGATTTCAATCTGTCATTTCCATTCTGGACAACTATTAAAAGCTATAATGCTTCCTCTTCTCCTTCAAAAAATCTGTCAACTCTGGAAAACTCAATTTTCTGTTCATACCCAGATCGGGCAACTTCAATTCTCTACTGGGGGAAAGAGGAAATTGGAGAATAGCTCACTAGGGAGGTCACCTCCTCTTCTGAAGTTTAGTTCTTTTGACTTGTTTTCATTCATAACTCTCCAAGTTATCTAGATTTTTCTAGTTGTTTTCATTAGAGCAATGGTTTGCTAGAAACTTCTATATACTAACTGGAAATGGAATTGCTTTCTTCCTTATTTTGGGGAGCTTTAAGAAAGCATACTTGACAGATCAATACCAGATAGTTCTCGAATACATATTAAGCTTTGAGCATATTCTTGTCTACTAACATTAGAAGAAACACATTCAAGACTGATTAACATGGTTGTGCTATCTGCTAATGTGCCATTTAGACCTTGTGACACGTAACTACAGTGGCAGCAAATTAGCATAATGTAGTAGCTCCTAACAAAGGCTGGATTTTGTTATTACTGAAAAGTAAGTGTAGCACAGATAATCCTGATATGCTGTAATTGTCTCATATGTCCTCATTTAAGTCTGCATGAACTAAGCCGGACCAAGTCTTAATTTATTAAGATATTATTAATATTCACTATTAGTTTTAATTAGTATCATTTTTTTCTAAATGTTACATTTGGAATAATAAAACTCAAAGGACTTTGTTTACTAATATTTTATAAGACTCCATGTAGGATAATCCCTAGATATCTGCCTCACTTATTCAATTCAAACTTTTTCATTAGAGAAGCATTTCCAAAGAATGTTCCACAGAATGCTTATTCTCTTTGATGATCTATGGAAAAGGATTTCTTAGATAAATGCATTCAGAAAATAATACACAGTGAATTCTCTATTTTGATATTTTCAATGAACATTAGTATTTTAAAGGATCTAAAGAGTTATGCAATAACCCTATTTACTTTGTTTAACTTGGCGTTTTCACACATTCTATTAAGAAGGCTCTCTCTCTCTTCTAAAGTAACATATATTAGTGTCCTTTGAATCTGGTGTTCTATGGTGTATACTTTGAAAAATGTTTTTCTAAGAGGCTAATGAAGTTAAAGATAATGTCAACAAATTCTTCAACTTAATTGAGGAACAGGTAGTTCTATTGTTATGTATATAATACAGCCTAGAAATCTCTATCCTTTGTAGAGATTTGAGATATAACTTCACAGACTTTGAATTATATGTACATCCTTCCATAAACAGTGCAGTGTTTCTGAATGCTGTGAAACATGAACATGGTACATACAGCTACTAGGCTTCATCGTATAAGAAGTAACAAAATTATTTAGTGTCATAGACTCTCTGGGCATTTAAAAAACAATTTTGAATGGTATATTGGTCCTTTTGTAAGGAAGTATATCACTCTGTGTGTCTTTCCTTCAATCTGAAATCATCTACAGATATGTAACTGTATTTCCTAAGTTTTTACTTACCCTGTGCTTTGACAATATAATCTTAAATAGAAGCTTCTGTTTCAATTTCTGTGAAATTAAGTGGACAAGTCTTACTAGCTAGGGTTTATTTTTAGCCATTATAAATGTCAAATTTTATCCAGTCAAGAAAATCACTGGAGTCTTTCATTGTGGGTTCCATGAACAAGGATGATCCAACTCCATGATTTCATCCAAGAAATTTCCAGTTTTTAGAGAACTACATTTGTCCTCTCTCACAACAACTTATTCTTTAATAATTATATAGTTACTTGGGTTTTTAATATATAAATGTCTGTCACCCTCACTAGACTATACAAGTATTTTAAGAGGGCAGAGATTTTGTCTGTTTTTGTTCGTTTTCCACCACGGTGTAATCAATGCTAAGAACAGTTTTGAAACATACTAGTTCTTTGATAAATATTTGTTCTATAAAAGAATTAAGTGTACATTCAAGCATCCTTCAATTTCATCACATACTTTAATCCCAGCAGAAACACGTTTGAACCAACAGACCTACCCAGGAGTATATACAGCACAGCTCTGTTTAGAGTCCTACTTTGCTTCAAAATAAAATGAAATGTCCTGAAATGAAGCTATGAAAGTTATTAATTGACTAATTGTAAATCCAAACTTTTACAAAGATAAATTGATTCTAATGCTAAGATGGTCACATTCAATTGTATACCCAAAATATTTGAGTAATATTTAAATTTCTCTTGTCTAGTTTTCTTTTACAGGATCCTTCCCAAGTATTGAAAAGTTTGTTGATTAACAAGGAAATAGTCATGATGAGATGAACATGATTTGTATTAACTTCTGTGTCCACATTACATTAATTGTTATGGGGTGGTCTTTATATATTCAGATAAAACTATGAGAGCCTTTTCCTATAGGAAAAGATTATTCGAATTTTCAATCAGGGTCATATTTCCATTTGCATTCTAAGAGTTTGAAATGTTAAACGATTGCTGGTGGCTGTTCAGTGTAGCATGGCTGCAGTGATACCAGGTGCAAAAAATTGCCCGGAGTGCTGTAAAAAATAGCACTACTAATCAGAATAGATGGCAACACTGCTAATTTGTTCTAGAAAAGTAATGGAAAAGAAAAAATAAAAAAAGAAAGATAATGACTGTTGAAGAAACATTCTTCCTAGTGTTTTTCATCCTATTTCTTTCTTTCAGATATCAAAAGGTGAGTAATTTTTTTTATTGGTCTGAAGACTGCGGAAGTATTCAAGAGAAAGCCGCATCCAGTATGCTGTTGAAGAAATGCTAAAAATGGTGTTAGAATGTTAGAAGATAGATTCTTTATCTGCTCTTCCTTCTTCTTTCCCTTAACGGAACATATTGGATGGAAATGCTCATTACTGGGAAAAATGCAGCCCAAAGATAAGGAGTTAGTTCTTGTCTGACAAAAAAGAGCTATCATGAGAGGGGGAAAAAAATATTCCATTTACTATTGCCAGCAGAAAGAAAATGGTGCTTTTCTCTTCTATTTTTTTCTTCACCCTCTCCATACCTTATAACCACATTTCATATAGGGGAAGCTATAGACTGTTGTACAAATTCAAAAATTCTCTTCAGGATAAAAATATCTTCTA